TTTCCAACCACTTCGAATACAGGGTTGCAGGGGAACCGGAGCTTACCCCAGCAAGCAACGGAGGGGACGCCAGTCCATCACAGGGCACACACAGACACAACGACACACTCGCACCAGGGCCGATTTGCACAGAAGCCAATTGACTTACCAGCATGTTTTGGACTGTGGGAGGAAACCCATTCTAACCCAGGAAGAGCATGCAGGCTCCACACAGACAGCACCCCAGGTCTGGACTTGAAACCAGGGCCCCAGCGCTGTGAGCCACCCACGCTTTACTACAAACCGATTAAAGGAAAATAAGAGCTCAGTTCAGCGATAACAGCTCAGAGTGAGCCTCATTAATCCTCCTCAGAATTCTTTTCAGAAGGCGAGGGAAAGGACTTTGTTCTGGCAGACCGGAACAATCTCGCCGCGCCGGTTCACGCCGTAAGCGGATTGCACTCCCAGCAGTGGGAAAGGGGGATTTTCCCGAGCCGGGAGGACGCAGACGGAGCGTTCCTACAATCTGGGGTTTCTTATCTGTCTCTCGTGGGAAGAGCCGCAGCCGCGAGCCGGAGGAGGGGAAGCGAGGAGGGCCGCTTGCACAGAAGCACAGAGATCTGGGAGAGAGGGACACCACAGAGCCCGTGGCACCCCCCTCCGAGCCGAAGGAGCAGTCGAGGAGAGAGAGCCCTGCACCCTGACCCTCACGGCTTCCCAGGATCTGAGGACGGCTTTGGAACCAGAGGGTCAGCATCCGAGATCAGAAGCGGATTAAAATCTGGAAGAGGCCGATTTGGGGGGGTGGGGGTGGGGTTGTGCATCACTGGGGCACGTGGGTTCAGCACTGGGAACGAGGGGCCGAGCGATCCCAGAATGCACCTGCAAAGCCCTGCAGAGTTTCCTGTACAGTCCCTTTAGAAAAAACATCTAGCACAGATGGGCTGAAGGGCTTGTTTTTATTAATATTAATATTAATAATGGGCAGCATGGTGGCACAGAGGTTAGCACTGCTGCCTCGCAGTGCTGGGGCCCTGGGATCAATTTTTGGGGCTCCGGTTTCCTCCCACAGGCCAAAGACATGCTAGAAGGTTAAATGGCTTCTGGGAAAAGTGACCCTGGTGTGAGTGTGTCTGCACATGGGCCCTGTCCTGTCCAGGGTGTACCCTGCCTTATTTCTGGGATGGGCTCAAGATCCCCTGCAATCCTGAATTGGATGGAGCAGGTAGAAAATGGAGGGACACATAGTATGATAAATAATAATGCATATTATGATATAATGCATAACAGTAAAGCTTTATTTGCAAGCTCTTTTAAAGGCACTGTACAGAAGGACTCACTTCCTTTTCTTCAAGCTCCCCAATGACTTAAGGCGTTGAAACAGTTGTGTTTTGGACCCGTTAAGCCACTAATTGACGCAATTAAACAATTAAGACCTCAGGCACAGCACTTCTGTTAAGGGTTACAGTCGAACAGTCTGCAAAACAGAGTGGAGCACAATTCCCAATGACCTTGGAGTTCTGCCAGACAGAGAGGAAAAGGCTTCGAGACTCAGGCTAGGACAACCTTCCTTCGCATCAAATCCCCAACAGATGAGCCGCCCTGAACTTTGACCTCTGTTCGACCCTCCTGCTGACCCCTGCTCCAAGCAGCTTGTGCCTGCCCCTTCCCCACAGCACCACACCGCCGCTCTGCAGCCCATCCGAGCGGGGCCAGACGGAGATTACCGATCACCCTTCCTTCAGGCAGCTGGCAGCCATTCAGCACTAGGTAACAAGCGTGGAGCAGTGGATCCAGCCCTGCTGGGGCCTGCGGCCACTGGTCAGACTGGGGTGGACTGCACCGCTGTGCAATGGGAGCGTGGGCCCCTTTCCCTGTACACCAGTGATAACACCCAGCCTGTGAAACGGAGGAGTCACGAGCTCCTCTCAGCCCAGCATCACATTGTGCGTCACATTGGAGAACCTGATGAAGACGGTCGCCAGCGAGCCCCCGCGTCTCCCCCTCTCGACTGTCCAGTAGCCACACTCACCCCAACCCCAGCCTGTATCTAACCAAGAGCGAATGGCTCTCGCCTCCAGACCAGACGGCTGCACACTGCAAACCCCTAATGGACAGTGACCCCCTGCCCCCCCCCCAACCCCCAGCAGGCCTGAGGGGCGTTTCAATCATCGGGGAAGTCACACTCACAACAGCACCTGCAAGGAAAAGAGCTGTTGCTCTGTGCCACAACTCCAGGCCTAAAACAGAGCATGCCCAAACACAGAAGCACCTCCATCTTGTCTGGTTAGTTTTTCTGCTTAGTGCAGGGCCTGACACAGATGCAGGAGACTGACGCCAACACCACAATATAGGAGCACAAATGATATGGGGACGACAGCTGCGTAATTCCTTTTTTTGGCAGGAGTGGAGGGGAATGTGTTGTGCAATCGTTCTAATCCCCTATGACTGATCTCTGCTCAGAGATATTTCAGAGGCCTTACTGACTATCTCACCTTTCCACTGTCTTGATGAGAAGGTCTCTGCTCACCAATTCCAAGATAAAAATCAGCTGACGTTCTGAGGCAGAAATGTCATTTCCTACAGTTTTTTTAAATGTTGATAATCCAGTGGTAATCCTTGGTAACTAAGAAGCTGCTACTATGTGGTTAATGAGTCACTTATGCCAAAGTTAAAAACATTTAAAATATCCCCCGCCCTCACAGAGTTTGCGTTCTCTTTGTATAATTTAGTCTTGAACAACCTTCAGAACCGTGACATCTTCACCACCACGGCCCCCCGACAGTGGACACTTTCCTGCAGGTCCCACAGCCCTCTGACAGTGGGCACTTTCCTGCAGGTCCCACAGCCCCCCGACCGTGG